GTCTTATGTACTTTCCATCCACAAATATTTTGCTATTTTAAAATTGACCCAGGTTAGTGGAGGATGAGTTCTAGTTTTAGCCTTCACTTTTAACTGTCCCTCTTGCTGTTGGCTAGAGCAGTTTCATAAGGGACAGACAATAAGTTGCAGAACAACAATGGTTCTTTTGCTTCCCTCCTCCCTACACTCTTCTATTTGTGTCTCACATCGGGAGGCGTGGCTTGTGCAACACCTGCTTTTGCAAGCCTGCTGGATGCCTCTTCTGTGGCCATTGATTTATTTTTGTGAAAACGAATTGGGTATTTTGCTTTGAAAACTAAAGTGTAACTCTCCAAGGCTAGATTTTTCGAAGGATGGATTCAGACAGAAATGGTCTTTCTAAATTATAGGTCTAAAATTACCCTACCATTATACAACTGCTTGGCGCTTCTCCAGAAAACTGAAGATGTTTGGAACCTTTTCCACTGAAACGATAATTGCCCAATGAAAACAGGATTTGGGGAAACATAAACTGACATCAAGCTACTCCTTTTTGCTATAAATTATATTGACTCTGCACTATTGCAAAATTACTTTGGATGATTTGACTATGGAAGAATGTAGTGAAAGACTCTTACTACCACACTCACATGTGCAGGGAAATTGCAATGCATCCAAACAAATCTAAGCTTAGACAAGACTTTCCACTGACTCCAAAGAACTCTCTGCTTTCTTTCCTCAGAGTTGCACAGGTCACTATTAAAATATCTTTAAGGTGCTTAACAACCAGGTGTTTTCCTTTTGTGTGGCAGGATGGAAGTCCCTTTTTCTTCTTCAACCAAATTCTCAATATTTGGTTTCTTTACTCCAATGAATGACAGGAATGAAAAACTCCTCTGAAAAAGAAATAGTTATTTATGCCAAGGTATTCTTTTCCCATTAAACTTCCTGTTGCAGGGTATCGTTGAGTTTACTAGTATACTAGAAATTATTTAGGAATTTTTTAAGGTGTGAATCTGCAAATGGATGGGTATGTGTAAATAGGTAAACAGATGTACAGGGATTTGGGAGAGCGTGCTTAATGCCCAATGGATACTTTCTGTGAGCAGTGGAAGCACACAAGTAAATCGAAACCCCAAACTTTCCCATGAGCTGTGAGCAATTTCTTTGTTTGGCTTAGTTTGCCTACTTACTTTATATTACAGGGTGGAAAGGGTTATATTTTTCCTCTGTGTAAGAGAGTAGAAGATGGGTGTTAGTCAGAGCCTATCAAGCTAGTAAAAATGAACTGTCAAGAGCTGACAGCGTATGAACGGAGTTACCTTGGAGATGCAATGGAAGACCAACAACTAGACATTGAGGTTTTAACGAATGCCTGCTAAGCGAGGCAGAACGTGTGAAAACATCATGGCTGGAACTTGAAACAAAGGACTGAGGTGCTGAGATGCTGGAGGAACTCAGCAGAGGAGGAGGGATGGTGTAAGGCCACACCTGAAGTCCCTCTGGGGCTCTGAGCCCAGAGGAGCCATTTGGAAACTTTTTTTTTCTGGGTGGCTCATGTGCAGTCATTCAGCAAACCACTGGCAGGACCAAGAGAAGTAGCAGCCTCAGGGTGTTGGGTTGTGCCCTAACAAGTGTATCAGTAGCCAGCTGCAAGCATCTACAGAAGACTAAGTTACTTAAATGACAAGAGCAAGGTGGTTTAGATCATATATACCCTAAACAGCCTGATTTAGATAAAAACAAGAGCTAATTTCCAGCCCTCTTACCTGAAATGAATTCTCTGTCCAGTTCCTGCTTATGGTATAAACTCCCAAATGTATCCTAGACTGAGGTAAGTGGATCAGTAAAGCAAAGGTTTTACCTGTATACATTCAGTAACAGGGTGTCATTTTTAGTTCCATTGAATCAGCTGACTTAGAGGGAGGATGACTGAGTATCTGTAGACATGTGTAGCTGTCATGTTATTTGCCTGGACATGGATTACAGGTGGTTCAGAGGGCTGAATGCTCACTTCCTAACTGGAGGCTCTAGCTTGGTTCTTCTCTACCACTTTCTGCAAATGCAATGCAGGCTTGGTTTTACTGAGATCTTCAGAGTATGGCTCTTTATTTTTCTAATATTGCCAATAATCTGGGCTAATTCTTTATGTGGAAGGAAGATGTGTGGGGCCAGAAGAGCGCTCTTTGGGGTGAATTTTTTTTTCAGTCTTTCAGCTTAGCAGCAAGCAGTTCACCCAAGCACCTTCTCTTCTCCTAAAGTTGGGCTCCTCAGGGCTTGGCGGGTGGACCAGAAGTAGTATTTTATTGCTGCATTTTTGAACCTTACTTTTCCCTAGTGTGGCTTGCTGGTCATAAGGCTGATACTTATCCCAAGCATGCTCAGAGACTGGTCTTGTCATTGATGGCATGGTGAATTCGCCTCTGCACAGTGACCTTACAATTTCTGTTTATAAAAAAATACTTAAAACATGTTTGTTTTGTAATTGCTTCCTATCCCTCTACCTTGAGGGTGATTTTTTTCCCATAGTTAACAGTACTGTCTTCAGGAAAGCCTATGTTTTGTGACTTTGGGAAATGTGCTGACTGCTACGTGGGAGTCTGTAGTATTTAGAGCCTTGCAACCCAGGCTGTGACTGACTCCTATCAAGAAAAATAGCCCAAATTTGAGATAACTGGAGTCCCTTTTCCTCCATTAGGTATGGAAAGGTATGGAGTAGGACTTCCTATATCAGATCCTATTCTGTGCTAGGTCAGCCAGCTCAAGAGCTGTAATGTGTTTCCAGTTGCTAAGCCATACGGTTACCATCTTACGATACCTTGTTAAGGATTGAAACAATGCATGCTTACTTTCTCATGGGCTTGGGTGGACACAAGGATTTCCATTACAGAAAGAACTGCAGGAAGCAGTATCAACACCAAAGTAATTTCCATGGAAGCTTAGGGAAATGTTGGAAAAATATTTTTGCCTCATGAGAGGAAAATTGTGAATGTTTCTATGTACCAGTCTGTAATGCCTAAAGTTATAGGTGCTCACTTGTCTGCACCGGTGGGGGGAAGAGCATTTGATGTGTTGGTGTGCTTTCCTGAGTGTATGAGAGCGTTCATGCCAGCAGGGACTTCAGATCCATGGGAGTAAGACACAAGGATATCTGTCTGTCCGGCCATCAGTATTGTATTTTGCTGGAGCTTTATGCAGAAACCAGGGCCTGACAGATTTGCTCCGCTGCACAAAACCCAACAGTGTTGATGTTGTTGCCAAATATAACTTCCAGCGATCTTCCGAACTGTTTCTCATTAGCTGTTCTAGCTGTGTCACTGCTGCTGACGGGAACTGGCCTTCACAACCTGCTCTGTAAACACACTTTCCAGAGCTCAGCTTGGGCAGTGATTATGGCTCTGCTGCTGCAAGTCTCCTAGGCTGGATCTGAGTCTGTCCTAGGAAAGCATTGCAAAACAGAAAGCTCATATCATCACTGTTTGTTTATGGCGGTTTGGGGAAATGCGGGAGCAGTGTTACAGCTCAGATCTTTCCATTGAAGCTTGCAGATTCTCTGTAGAGAACCTGTCTCCACTGCAGTAATACTGATCTTAATCCAGAAACAATTCGGGGTTTTTTGGCTGCACTTTGGAGAAACTGATTTGGTCTAATGGCATTTTGAAGAGGAAAAACAAAAGTATCTAAGAGCCTGAGGTTTGACAAGTTGGCTGTTGCACACTGGATGGAATTCTGAATGGAAAAAAGAGCTAGTTGTCCAGACCTATTGCACTACCTCATGTTAATTAAATACTTTCTAAAAACTACAGGAATGTTGCCACTAAATGCTCATATTTGGTTGCATTTCATAGGTTCACGATTGCCTGTAACCCAAAGAAGAAATAAACGTGAATGCTGAATTGCTTGTATTAATTTTCAGGAGTAAAGCTTTCAGAGTTTTATTAGCTACCTATTTCACAAGTGCTTTGAATAATTTTAATAATATGATAAAAAAAATCCATGCCTTTTAAAGCCAGAAGGTGGTAAGACAATTGCAAAATGAAAGCTGGTTTAGGGTGAGTACAGGAGATGCTCAGGCAGCTGAACATGCTGGTGTAGATCACATCTGAAGGAGGCTGTAGTATTTTGTTGCAGGTGTCCGTTGAGTCTGTACTTGTAAAAGAAGGGGAAATCTAGAAACAGAACGAATATGGGAAAGAATAACATTCAGAGTTATTCTGTCTCCTGGATTTTGTCCATAATTCACCTGAAGCTGTGCTGGAGAGGTGTTGCACACATCTGAAAGGATCTTGCTAACATTCATCTTGCCAGGATGTGCTGAGTCCCTGGCTCCACCCGTCCAAGGGCACTGGGCTCCAGTGTGAACCCCTTCATCCCGTCCTGTGCCTGGAGGAGGTTAACTTCTGCTGTGCCCAGGCTGGCAGGGAGAGTGCTGCCTGGTGTTGCCTGTTGGGCTTTGATAGCACAGCTGCCTGTGGAAGACAGGGAGGTCTGTCTCCAAATCTTTCCAGCACCACATTGTAAAATTCAGTTTCTCTTGGTGCTGGGGTGCTGTACGCTTTGCATTTTTGTTTGGCTGGTGGAAATCCTAAGTGTGGGGCATCAGGTGCTATATATTGTTGTTAGTCAGGAGAGATTGGCTTCATACTGATTACTTATTATTTAAATGAAACACTGAGACTGCCTGACCCTGTGTTTTGTGAAATCCCATTGATGCAATAATCTGCATTTATGAAAAGCTCAGTATCCTGTCTGACAAGTACAGTAGATTTTGCAAGGAGCCTGGCTGGAAGGAGATGCTCTTGTCCTTCCTGCCAAGTTGTCTGCACTGGGATCCGAGTGATGAATTACCAGAACGTGCAGGGAGCAGCATTATTCTCCTTCTGCTCTCCATACAGAGATGGCTGTCACGGTTCCACAGGGAGGATGACTGCAGTGCTGCTGTTAGCCAGGTCACTTTGGTATGAAATGCTGGGGGAAGGCCCCAGTGCAAAACTCCTGACCAGGCTTGTGTCCCTTTCCAGAGACGCACTTGATGCTGCCAGTGTGCTTTATAATCGAGTTGATGAGGGCGTGCACCGACTGGTGATGCTGTCAAACAAACGCATCCAGGAACTGGAGCTGGTGATGGAGTTCGAGAAAGTGGAAGAGTGTTTTAAGGAGGTAAGGCCTGTCTGTCAGTTCCAGTGACTGCCTACTGCCACCCTCTGACTGTGTGTCCCACAGCAGGTACTGGGCCTGTTGATCTTTTGTGTGAAGATGTAGAATGATGCTTGTAGACCCTTAAAAAGAACAACTGAACATAAGAATTTGAGAGAGATTCTTCAGATATGCTGAGAACCAAGCCACTGTTATGCCTGGTATCTTCTAGTGCCAGGTAAAAGTCTCCTGGCTGCTTTCTACGTGTGGATCAGTCAAACCCCATAAACATCTTGTGATGTTTTTTCCATACTTAAAGATGACAGTGCAGTGGTTCATTGGTAAGCAGTGCACTTGGAGGTGGGGTGTCTTTTCACACTAGTCAGCAAAAGTACTCTCTCAGCAAGACTGTTGAGGATCCATTCTTCATGCTCTACCTTGAGAAGCAGCAGAGCAATGGCAATAAGCTGACTATGAGTCTGCGTGTCCCCTCTGGGCTGGAGATCCTGCAGGGTTTGCCTACATCCTGTTGCTGAATGAGCCACATCACATACCCCACGCTCACTGTCTGTCTGTTCGGTGCACTCTGTTGTTCAGATTCCTGTGTGGTGCTCAGGTCCCTTCTATCTGATAAGCCCCAGGCACACTCCCTTTGCTTCTGGCTGCAGCCCTGTATACAGTCTGCAAGCAGGGCAACAGCCTCTTGTCCTTAATCCAAGAGCTATGATCAACACACACCTCCCCCCCTGCACTTCTGTAGGAGTTTAAAATTCCCCTTTATGTGGTGCTCACTGAAACTCTTTACAGCTGTGGGATAACTGAAGCAAACAGGTACTGGTTCTCAGAAAGACCTTGAAACTTGTAGTTGCATAGAGAACCTTAAAAAGTCATAAAGTAGCTCAGGCTGTCTGAGTGTCCTACAAGATCTGATCAGTTCTTTCAGTGTTTCAGATCCCAGATGTGCTCCCTAAACCTGAACTTGACCTCGAGATTATGGAGTCAGGTAGTCTTCTTTGCTGTAACTTGTCAACAATGACAAGTTTTTTTTATATCACCTATTACCCTGTGTGTGAAGGGTTGTGTGCTGTTTGGAGCTCACCTTAGCAATCTGCATCCTTAAAGATCAGTACTAGGACTAGTTTCACTGTTGATCTTCTAGGATTCTGGGCTCTTCTCCTCTGGAGAGAACTGGATTTGCAAAGGAGGCTGTAGCCTACCTACTGTTTTCATAGGCCAAGGTGGATCCGAGAGTTCTAATGATTTCCCATTTGGAGGCAGACGCTCGGCGCCATACACGTGTTCAAGACAAGAAGTGTGATGCAAGAACCTAGTAAAGACTCCCTTAAACACACAGGTTTCTAACACCAAACAGAAATGAAAAAAGGCACCAAAGCAAACTCTACAACCTGTCCTGTTTTAAGTTGAACTTTTTTTGATTGAATTGAGCAAAACTGACCGCTTCCATCTTTACTTTGCTTGCAGATCACCAATGATGGCAGCAGCTGCTCCTACTTTTAAGCCTGCCTAGAAGCTCTAGGCAGTGGCAGTGTGCCCCTCTGCAGTATGGGTCACAGCCTGGGAACCTGTCCCCATCTCCTCCTCTTGCCGATGGGCTTGTTCCATGAGCACAGACTCTCTCTCAGTCCACAAGACTAGGATTTTGTCCTTAATTGTGGGGTTGAGTTGGGATATGAGTTTAGATGATAGAGGAAGACAGGATGTGTGGGCATTAGGAAACATTCAGTCTATCCCCTGCCCCAGGTGCAGCTATGCCTGAAGCACTGCAGACAAGTGTACTAACCTGTTTTTAAAACCCAGTTGATGGAGATGCTGTGTTATCCTGCCTGGCCTCCTGCATCTGCTTTGCTTTTAGGACACTCTTGTTAGTTCTGTACCCATGTTTGAGGATGTAGGTTTATAACTGTGGCAGTGGCTGGGCTCTGTTGAGGAGCCTGCAGTTACTGCAGGGCTTTGTGGCGAGCTGCCTTCAGAATACCGGTAGCTGAGAGTCCCAGAGAACCATGAAACATTGCAGATGGGGGGGGGGGGGAATC